CTATCCATATATGAGTACCTGATGGCTGCGATCCCGGGATACAGCGAGAACTTTGAAAACGCAGTATTCCGTACTGCGGGTATAACTCATGGCCATCAAATGCCAGGTAATTGCAGTTCCCCGACGTAATGGCTATGTTTATGGTCTACTTCCGGACAGACCGGCAGTAAGTTGCCCAACACGAGGATGTTGTAGAAGTAAGTTGAGCTGAGACCGGAAAGTGCATTGATAAACTTTTTCCCCGGAAGGGTTTTGACCTTTGCGTCGCCTTTGTCGGAACAAGCAAGATAAATTTTTAAGAAGTAGACACGATCGCGATCGTTTGTATTTTCTACTCATGAAAGCAAATTCTACTTAGCACAATGAGGGCACTTAGTGCGCGCAAAGCGTGCGCGTAAAGAAACCGCATCTGGATTCCGAATTGGCGATCATGCATTAAAACTCGCATTTCATCTAAGGGCTTGTAGGACGTTTGAATCAGGAACTTGAAAGGATTACGTTCGCAACGGAGGTCCAGACAGACGGCATATCGATCGATGAATATAGACCACCAAATACGGTTTTGCTGGTATGAGATTAAATCCATAGGACATACCACGTAATGGATACGACAGTTAGCAAATTACCCGTAAAAGACCGGGGGAATATAACTCCTTTTGCGCCAATGCTCGGCAAAGGGATGTGACCACTAGCCGAGCAACTAGTTGACCGTCTCCTCCAAGCGTGATGGAAACGGCTTTCGGTGAAATATAACTGCGACATTTGCTTCCATTATAACGACACGACGACATGACAAAATACATGTTAGCAACTTGAATTATCACCCATGGCATGCACATCAGTCCGTAAAACGCTCTCTAGAGGCTCGCCTATCTTATGAATGCCTCAGACAGCCCGTGAGTCTGAAAACTGACCAGACGAGGCATTTTCAAAGTTTCATCATGGAAATAGGATATTACTTGAGATACATTGATGAAAACAGTCGCGGTTGCCCACAACCCCAGCAAATATTTTACGAAATCCCGCACGGAAATTGCCTCATTCTGAACCAATCAACATGCAGTTAATGATAGAAGGGTGAATAAAAAATGAAACTCGGAAACGGAATATTGTCTTACACAACACGATCGTAGATTAATTAAATTACTCAAACGGCCCCTAAGGGTGGAGGAGGGGGAGTTAATAAAATGCCAAACTACCTGAATATTTACGGTTACACTGAAAAGGTATGGAGCACAACGTAGCTAATGGACCGGCGAAGCATATTAAAACAGGAAACCGATCATTTTCAAACAGGATCTATTTTGTCTCGTCATCATATATAAACTAATTAAGTGCATAGGCTCAATGAAACAAGTTTTTCCCTCATCTAAGACACATTGACGTACCTCATTCAACCCCTGTACTCTGATATACGCATCGTTTACTCCACAGTGCTCCCATATTGTTTTAGAGATGTTATCTGGTCTTTGGCAGATATCAATAAGATAAAGATTGGGTTGACGTTGAGATAGTTATCAAACAACACTGTTCTGACGGTGCCGTGGGTAGGCCCGCACTACTGGAGAACCAAAGAGATCCGATCCTTACCTTTCACTTGAAAAAGCCCTTATTTTGCTTATTCTAGTCTAACTCATTTTCCGCGGATTATCTAAACGCTGCTCAGTTCCGCCATTTTTCCAGCGCTTTGCCAGCACAATCTGTTGCTGTCCAGTCCCTGGGCTTATTCACTTTTCAGGGAGGATCCTTCGCGTCCAGGGGCTGTTATTTGTTTAGTTGAGGTCGTTTTCCAATGTAACAGCTATGGGCTAGCCTAAGAAGATAACAGCTTAAACAAATAAAACGGCTGGGTTCGTGGGAACTTTAAATAAAGACTGCAGTTGAAAATAAAGTATAATTTGGATAAATTGGAAGGCAAGCATCCCAAGAAATGTACTGTGAAAGAAAGAAATTCTTTGGGAAAATAAGGTTACATGATTCAGTAAGTTTACGACGCTGGATCCCCAGGTCGTCGTCAGACTTTAGAAAATGTGCAACAAACAAGTAAAATGTCAACAGTACTGTTAAATTGTATAGTCATCTAGGGTGAGCGTTAATTGGCAGCTGCAATTTGCGTCATTCCATGGTGGACAAATGATGACTATTAAGTTGTCTACCATGGACTGACGCAAATGGCAGCTGCCAATTAGCGCTCACACCAGAGGACTGTATAATTGTACCAGTACCTCTGAACTTTTAATTGTTCATTTCAGACCTTCCATAGTCTGACGACGACTCGGGGATCCAGCGTCAAAAATTTACTGCCCTGACTTCCGGTTTTGCGCCCGACAGTTCAACCATCAATTTCGATGATGCACAACATATCGCACTTTCTGCGGCATCTACATTACAGTGCATACGTTATGCCAGCGGTCAGAACGAAGCTTGTTAAAAGCCCGCATCCTATCGTGACTGAAATAACTTCCGAATAGGCTACGCAATAATCCATATCACAACCTGAT